AGTATGTTTGTATGTATGACGTAAGTCTGTATGTATGTGTATTTGTTTGCTGTTGTTAAAATCCGTGTCTATGTTCTCATTGGTTCCACACGTGCCCCTCTCTCTGTTTTCTATGTTAGAGTGTGATGTGTATGTCCAATTAAAAAAGGAAATGAAATTACAGAACATATATCAGCAGCATAAATAAAATAAAATCTAACCATTGGAGGAAAATCGTAGAATATTTGCTGGAAATATAATATTTACTATCTATTATATTTCTATCAATAGAAAGTATCAAGTATTTTTTTATGATGCATTTTCATGTCGGTGAAGCAGATCAGCAAGCTTAATAAATATTCAGGAAACATTGAACGGGAAATATAAATAATTTTGCCAACTGTCAGAACAGGCCTCTGTATGCTCAAAATATGGTGTTTTTGGGTATATAGAAAATGTTCAGACACACAAGCAAAGATTTTTGATCAGATCATGTGGAACCATTTAACTTTCATTCATCTTTTCAACTTGTATCCAAAGTAATTAAACATCTGCATGATTTATCATAAATGTATGCATCACGCTGCATTATTCCATGGGTCATAGAACAGTGCACATACTCTCCCAGAGACTGATTCATTGCTGTCATGCTTGAAGGTAAACTCATCACCTCTTTGTATAAAAACAATTGTCCGATTGTAAGATTGGAATAAGACAACGATTACAATCAAGTTAAATATAGATTACAATAACTAAACGAGATGCAATTTACAAAGAACACGTATGAATAGTCAAATGGAAGAAAACACAAGATGCCACATTGAATTAATAACTCCCATTGTAATAGCCAACATGATAAATTACAGAGGAAAGTTTGTATAATAATTGCGTATTATATGTAATAACGTAAATAATCATCTAAATTATTTTTCTTATATTATTTGTTTTACATTTCAGTTTTTATGTTGTTTTTCCCCCAGATGATGAACGATGAAAACATTGACAGACTACCAGAATCCACCTGACTTTAAAGAGCAGGAACATTTAAAGGGGTCATATGATGCTGCTAAAAAGAACATTATTTTAGGTGTGGCTAACTCTTAACTTTTATAAAGAATATCTCTTTGGATTTGAGACTTTAGTCTTTGCAACTTTACAGATCTTCTTTATGCACCAAGAGCTTGTAACACTCTAAAGAGAAAGGAAAAAATGAAATCGCATCATATGACCCCTTTAACATCAGATGACAGCAGAGCCTGCTTATGATAAATCAAAGTCTTTTGATAAACACAGCGTGGACTGGTGTGGACATTAATGTAGTTAATAACAGTTATCAAAAATAACCAGTTAATAAATTGGTAAATTGCATAATAATGAACTATTCACTAAAAATTCACCAACTGTTTGATAGTTTGTCCGCTGTCTGCTTCGAATTACATTAGGCTTAGATGACTTTTATTTTGACAACAAACTCCGGAAGTTAGTTTTTTCCGGAAGTCCTCGATGAGTGTGAAGAGTTGAACCTAGCTGCATATGTTCAAAAGAAACTGGTTTATTTTTGTGGAAAACCTCCGCGTGAATTAAAATTGTGGTCTTTGGTGTGAAGACATTAATGTACCGCTTATACTTCGAGCCAAGTGACCTATTTTAGGTACATGACAACATTTGTTTTTAGTTTGGTTTGGTATTTATTTCCTGTATACGTTTGTCAGCTCGTTGATCGTTCTTAACGATAAATCCAGGAAGTTCAACCTGGTAACAATAATTTCAGACAAAATACCATACATTAATACAGCGTTGCCTTTAAAAAAATCATCTCTCTATCATTTTGTTTGTTTACATAATAGTAGTAACGTTACGTTAGCAACAAACTGAAATAACTAGGATGTTGTTTAGTTACCATTTTAACTTTTTTATTAAAGGCACTTGTATTTAACTTCTGTATTTTATATGCTAAGTTGTTTAGTTTAAATTTGCCACCTCCACATGTCAAGTGTTTAGTGGAAACGAAAATACACAGATGAAAAGTAAATACTCATACATAAAACGACAGATTGCAACAATATGAAAGCTTTATTCAACCAATCCTACAGGTTCAAACTCTTCTGAGTGTCTTGCATGGAGAACATTGTGGTTTACATTCCCAAGGAAGCATGTGTCAAAAACATGCCTCTGCAGTCTCTGTCCAGCTCCACAGCCAGGAAGATCAGTGTCGCTCCGTTTCCGCATGGATCAGAGAAACAGATGCCACAGACCGTGACGTGGATCTGTCCGGTTGAGCTGCGGGAAAAAGAAGTGGCTGTGGGCAAGGACAGCAGAGAACCGGTCCCACTGAGCCAGAGGCCACTGCTCTCCAAAATAACTCCAGGCCAGTTTTCACTGCCTGTTGTGAGTTCCAGCATCACTGCCTTTAAGGTCTTAAGAAAAATTTTAAAAACACATAAGCCTAAAATACAATTTTCAGGGCTGGAAAATGATGCTGCCTCTCTGCCCAGCATCAGGGAATCTGTTCGGCAAAATGCTATTATTGTGTATAATGGCCAGATCTTCCTCTCAGTGAGGAAGTCACAGTGCAGGCGAGTGAGATTACAAAACTCTCCCTCAGCACCTTCAGGTGTGTGTCCTGTTTCTCCTAGTAAACAGAACCAAATAAATGCACCTAGCTGTCAGGCGCAACCGCTTCTGGACACTTCACCCAGACCACAACAGAGCAAGGTAGGACATTTCCCTCTTTTATTATAGTTTTCAGTCTGTGCTGAAAAAGGTATAAATGCCAGTAGGTGTAAATGTGATTTGATTCTCATTTGGGATTTAAATTGCACTTAATATTTAGTCATATTATTGATTTAAAGAGATAGTTCACCCAAAAATGCAATTCTTTATCATCATTTACTCACCCTAATGGAGTTGAATCTGTGTGATTTTTTTTTTCCCTCTGTTGAACACAAAAGTCAATATTTTGAAGAATGGTGGTAACCAAACAGTTGACGGTAGCCATTGACTTCCATAGTATTTTTTTCTTAGTATTTTATGGAAGTCAGTAGCTGCTTGCAACTGTTTGGGTACCAGCATTCTTCAAAATATTGACTTTTGTGTTCGACAGAAGAGAGAAACTTATACAGGCTTGGAAGAACTTGAGGGTGAGTAAATGATGACAGGATATTTGTTTTTGGGTGAACTGTCCTTTTAGCTGCACTGACAGTGTCAGATGAGAACAAAATTTTAACTCAAATAAGCTGGATAATGACACTGACTTTGCAACATTGACACTGTTATTAAACTGAATTGAATGAAACAAAGACAGTATTGTCTTCTGTAGAGATACTCATAATAACTTCTTTCTCTTATCATCAGTCTTAAGATTTATTTTAGTGTCATGTTGCAGAGAATCTTGAAAGCGGGTCTAAATACGATCATGATGACAATTCAAAGCTGTTTACGCCACTACATAAATGATCTGAAAGGGATTATCTGTTAGATAAATTCATGCATAACATCATTTTTAAATTGCTGTAAATGTTCAGAAAAAGAACAATTTTTAGTGATTTACTTGACTTTTTGTGATATATTGTGCATTGTTTGCTCTAGGTTTTGATACAGATTTTTTTATTGAATTTCTGATTTTTGCACATCTCTTTCCAATCCACAGAGACAGGATGTTCAGACTCCAGTCAGAGATCTTGACATTAACATACAGATTTCACCACTTCTGCACAAAGTCTCTGAAGAAATGCCTGAGCAATGCTGTACAGACAAAGAGTGTCAAAAGGTCAAGCTTTAATCTTTTATTTTATTTTGTAAAATACGTTTTGAAGATGGACATGATATTTTAATACAATTAAAGCTGCTGTAAATGATTTTACAATTTCCTGGATGGACATGCATAAAATGTCCTAAGAGCTAAAATAGGTGTCACCATTGTCAGTCCTGCCTTTTTTAACTAACCGAGAAACTTAGCCAATCAGAAAGGTTTTCTGCCTCAATCATTTTATCTGGATTTTGTTAGCATTCCTTGTGTTTGAGCCAATTACCTAAGCCAGACAGAAACAATAGTTTTTTAAAAGCTGTCTATAATACATGTCTACTTTTGAATGGCTGTGAAGGGAGAAATATACTTTCAGGATAGTGCAGTTATGACATCTACCAGCAGGGACTAACTAGTCCATGCTAACCAGCCAAATCTTGACCACTTGGTCAGGAGGACATAGATTTTTCTGACTGAAATCCTTTACAGTACCTTTAAATCTGTATAAAAACAGTGATTAAGTAATTAGTGCTGTTTCAAAACCTTTGTGATCTCATATTTATTAATGAATTTTGCCTTTGAATTCACAGGAAGATGAGTCCAGGTCACTGAGTAGCCCACCCAAACCTCCTGAGGATCTGGAGTCTGGTCAGGAGGCGTCTAGTTCCCAGCCCAATCTCCTCCAGCAGCCTCAGATCATCCACACGTCTTCTGTCGTCTCAGAACAGCCTGAAGCAGCAGCAGCAGGAGGAGAAAGAGAGACGCATGAGGATGACAATGAGCGTTTAGAGGGCGCATTGCTCCCCAGGGCTGAGAGCTGTCTTGCATTTGATTTTGAACAGTTGGCCCAGGAGGAGAGAATCAACCACCTACGAGCTCGGCTGAGGCAGAAGGAAGCCGCGCTCAGCATCTTTAACGCAAAGCCAACGGATCAGATTTAGAGGAGCAGACTGCGCCAAAGATGTCTGTTCAGGAGGTATACAAGTTCCTAGTGCATCATTTTATGTGAACAGCATAAAGGAAGAGTTTACACAAAAATGAAAATTTGGTCATCATTTACTCACCCTCAAGTTGTTCCATATCTGTATCAATTTCTTTCTTCTGCTGAACACAAAAGAAGATCATTTTGAAGAATGTGGGTAGTTGCTGGTCCCCGTTGGCCTACATAGTATACGAGCCACTGTGTGGTTACCCACATTCTTTAAAATATCTTCTTTTGTGTTCATCAGACAAGAAAGACATTCATAAAGGTGATGACAAAATAAATTATTCATAAATGATGACAACATTTTCATTTTTTAGGTGAACTATCGCTTTAAGATGAGTAGGTTTGTTAATTCAATTGTTTATTATTTAATAGCACAAATATTGTCATTTAAATAAAATATTTATGCCAAAGCAGAGATTTAAGAACATAATGTGTTTGTGCAATAAATACAGTGATTCATTTGTTTGGTTTTGCACAGTTACCACAAAATCTGTTTGGATTTAATTTTAGCTTCTAGAATTGAAATTATTATACATTAATTCTCAGTTCAAATAAAAGGTTTAATGTCATACTGAGCATTAGTCATTTCATTTCTGCTGTACATCGTACCTCAAGTTAATAATGTACCCACACGTCTGACTGTTAACATAACGTTTTGTCTTTATTTTATCTGTAAGTGTGTTCTCTCTGACTGGCTCTGAATGCGTTCCTACATCTATCTTTGTTTCATTTATCATTTCAGCTGAAGCCTACACACTCCGAAATCACTTAACTGGCTTCTTGCGGAGATATACTCGTGATAACTTCTTCCTCCATTGTCGTCACTCTTAGGATGGATTTCAATGTCATGCTGCAGAAAATTCTGAGCTATAAATGATAGACATGAGGGTGTCAGTTTTGGTTTATTGTTGTTTTATTAATCAGATTTCTTTTGTAGTTTCATGCATCTCCAGTACAAGACAAGCTTTGCGATTAGGAGTTCTCTGTGTGTCGAGGAAGGGTAGGATGTGTCCGTGTGTGTGTGTGTGTGTGTGTGTGCCGTTGGCCCGTCCCCTCCTGGTCCTCCTATAAGAGCACACCGGAGTAAGAACGTCAGTAGCTCTTTAGAGAGACCAAACCTTGAAAAAAAAGACATGCCATCAGACGGAATGCCTAACTGTCATGCCAGACGCCTTCAGATGCTTAGAGAATTTCTAAAGGTAAGACTCCACATGCACTTACATAGAAAAACTGTATTGAAATGGGAGGCACCAGGATCAGGCTTTCAAACTAAGGACACTTACACCTGTTGCATGTTATCTGGGTGTAGAATTAGGGTAGCAAAGACCACTTCATGCTGATTTTTTATCTCATCTTGGGGGCATTTAGACTAAAAAAAACTTTCTTTTTTGCTAAATGACTAGTTTCCATGGATGAGTCAAATTACCTTTTTGTGAGTAACAATTACTGCCTCCAATGTCAGGGAGCTATTATGACGTCAATTTGTCGTGTGGGATGTAGAAAAATATAGATCTGCAATCCACGCCATCATATCAAAAGGTTATAACAGTTTGCAAAAGGTCATCATCTGAGTCAGCAGCTTTTTGTGTGCACTCTTAAAATAAAAGTTCTTTTTTGGAACTGGTGAAGAACCTGAACATCAATGGAACCTTTCAGTTACACAGAAAGTTCTTTCTAGTGGAAGAAGGTTCTTTAGATTATTAAAAAGTTCTACAGAAAAAAGCAGTGTTTGTTGAAAGGTTCTTTGGGGAATGAAAATGGTTCTATAGAATCACTGGAACCTTTATTTTTAAGAGTGTAAGGCAACATGGAAACTATGTATTCGAAGGATCTTGCATAGTAGCAATGCCATCTGGACTTTTCGTACATGCCTTCAGATCAGTAAGGTTTGCAAAACAAAACATATTCAGAGCGTCATCCATCAAGAATTGTATCCATTGCTTTGACAAAAAGGAGTGTATCTGTGATAAGATGCAGGTGGCTGAGAGTTTGTTTGTTTCTGGTGAAGCAGGTGCCCAGCTGGCGAAGTGTGTGTGTCCTCTATTCCCTGTACTGCGTCCTGATCCTGCCAGATGCCGGCGAGGCTGCCAAAGCACGCTGTGGACGAGAACTAGTTGCTGACCTGGAGTTTGTGTGTGGAGACCGTGGCTTTTACAGAGGTAAGAGTCACCTACAAACTTCATCTTACACTTCTAAAGTCCTGTATTTTCAAAAAGATGCATGTGCTGATTGTGTGAGTCAAAGCGGAACAAACCCTGACATGGTTACTTATCGTGTACCGTTTGGTGTGGACACAGTGATTTGCATGTCTCTAAATCATTAAGCTCACTCATAACACCATATCATATTCATAACACTTAATATCAGTGTATTAAAAGTGGCCTTGCCCTGAAGATATAGACAGTGTTATCAAGTCAAGCTGTTATCATTATGGTGTTGATGCAGATCAACCAACCAATAGCAAACAGTAACCGACTGCTGTTGTAGGTGGTATGAAGTTATATTAAACATTTAATAAATTACAATATAAGTCACCACACCAACATGTACTCTTGATTTGCGGTTGTTGATATCAACATTTTTATTTCTGCTAACTGTGGCCCTTTCACCCTGTTCCGTATCCAAGGCCACCTTGACACTTTTCGCTCACATTTTCTCATTCGCTCTCACTCCTTTTCTCAAAAGGAACATTATGACACGGTCTTAGTGGCAATATCTAATTTCAGCAATTTTACAAAAAATACAGTAAAATAATTCCTAACATTGGGCTACATAAACTATATACACACCATTCAAACGTTTTTTTAATTGATTAAAAATACAGTAAAAACAGTGATGCTGTGAACTAGTATTACAATTGAAATGAACTGTTTTCTACTTGAATATATTATTAAATGGAATTTATTCCTGTGATGCAAAGCTGAATTTTCAGCAGTCATTACTCCAGTCTTCAGTGTCACATGATCCTTCAGAAATCATTCCAAGTTAAAAAGAACAGCATTTATTTGATATATGCTTATTATTTTTGATATAATCTGATTATAAACTTGATATATTTAAGTATTATCTGTAACTTGTTCAATTTAATCAGTCTTTACTGAATAAAAGTAATAATTTCTTTAAAAAAAACCTTTTTGAACTTCTGTATGTATTCAATTATTGTTGTAGTTTTATTAAGCGCACAATTTATTTTTAGAGCATGCAAGGCATAAATTCTCTTGCATGACCCCATATTGGCAGTTTGATAGTTGCAGCTAATTCACATGAATGTGCGGATCACTCCGCTGTGGCGACCCCTGATAAAGGGAATAAGCCGAGAGAGAGCTAATTCACATGAATGTAACTGGCATTAAAAGTATTTTGCTTTGTGTCTGTTGGGGTTAGGCAAACCTGGAGCAGCCCGTAGCGGCGGCCCCCGCTCTCGTGGGAAAGGGATCGTAGAGCAGTGTTGTGTGCGTGGATGTGACCTCCAGCATTTGGAGTCGTATTGTGCCAAACCCAAGAGGCTACGGCGTGACGTCCCTGAATCTCTGCAGCAGACTCCGGTGAGACTTCAACTCCACAGATACACATACAAATCCCATTCACCTGATTCGCCTTTGTAAAGCATAGAGGAAAAGTTCACCCAAAAAATTAAAATAGTCTTCATTTACTGACATTTGACTTTCTTCTGTAAAACTGGTCACTCACTCACTTAAATCACAGTGAATGGGAGCGGGAGCTTCAAAAAGCAAAAGTGCTTTTTTAGTGTCTGTTTAGCCTTTATAGCCTAAATTTATTTTTGTTTTAGGACCAACTCATTGATTGAAAAGAATGATTAGTTCATGAATCAAACATGAATTGCTTCTCACATGAACATGATCTAGAACGGATGTACAGATTTTCAGTGAATAATGACACAAATTCCAGTTTATTCCTCACATATGACTTCACAAGTATGTTGTGCATGAGTTATACAGAACTTGATAACTAGTTCTTATTCACATTTGTTATGTTTAAAAATTAACCTTTTGTGTTTTATGAGTCTCACGTAATAATACTGCCAAATCGACTTTGAAACTTTGAAACCCAGCAAATTGCTTAAATTCTACACACTGTCGTTTTCTGTTTGTTGCAGGAAGATCAGTTTTGGCTGGTGTTTCAGCGGCGATACCAGAAGCATGCAGAGATGAACAGAGATGAGGACGCTGCTTCTCAAAGACTCAGAGAGCGGACGCTTTACCGGTGGAACTCCAGAGATTCAGTTTTACTAACCAACCAACCCTCCTCAACACTACAGCAACCTTCCACTGAGAGAATGACATCAGGACCAACATTTCTCCCCCACATCCGATAGTCCTGGCTCTTTTTGGATCTGTGTGGACCCTATGAATCACCTTCCTTCACTAAAAAAAAAAACTTTTCTGTCCTGGCAGATGTATAAACTGAGCACTATGTAAGAGAAACTAGAGGACAAGATGCCAAAGCCACTCAAGCCATAAAATAGTGAAGAGCAGGGTGTACCTGAACGGTCACGGGCTGTACTAGCTTCATTAAGCAAATGCTGAATACAAGTTGAATTGTATTTTTCCATTCAGTTTTGTTTTCAGCTTCCCTCTGTCTTTGGGTAAACGAGTTCAAAGCAAGTTAATGTTGAATGTGTTTGTATGATGGCTGAGGTAAGTCATTTTGAATGTAAATGTGACGTTTTTTAATGAAAGATTGCTGATGTTAGTGAATATATTTTCTTATGTTTAATTTATGTTCTATAAGATTAGTGTTTTCTGGTATTTGTAAAATATGTATCTAAAGAAGAGTTGTAAAGAATTTTACATAAAAGAAAACTGAGGATACCATGCTGTTCATTTTCTTGCTAATGGCCATGATATTCTGACATACTCCGATCAGCTCTATTTTAAACGATGCATAAAGACAGATTCCAGGGGCCTCATTTATAAAATGTTGCGTATAAACCGCCCTAAATTTGTTCTAAGATCATTTCTCAAAAGTGTGTAAGTGCGATTCAGAGAAAACGCACGTGCGTACGCCTCTCTTCCAGATGTGACGTTTATAAATTGCAAATGATCTTGAAATTGTGCGCAGCTGACTGGTGTCAGATCTCCGCCTTGTAAACGCCCCCTAATTAATATCATTACCATATAAAAGAGCACACGCCAATATCCAAATTTCTATGTCCGAGAATGACGAGCACAAAGAAAAGAAAAGAAAAACTTTACGGAGTCTGAAATTGAGGTCCTGCTGGCGGAGGTAGAGGTTCGTGCGCGGACGCGTTTTATTTAATAATGTGTAATTATTCTGTGGACAAACAATTTCAGCCATCTTATACAAAGTGAGCCATCCTACTTTTAAAATCATTTGCTATGACAACTAATAAAAAGTTTAGTATCACGAAATTCTTGCAGAACTTTAAAAAACATTATTGAAAGAAAAATTGTACGTTTCATATCATAATAAAATAAATTATTACACGATTATG